GTCCCACAGCACTGTGTCCACCCTCTCAGTCCGCGCTCTTAGGAAGACCAAACCAGCCGTGACCTCCTCCCCCCCCCCTTACATCACTGTAACTGCGCCTAACAGGGCAAGCCCATCCACGTCTCCTCAGAAGGAGGTCCCAGGGAAGGTTTCAGATATGTGACCCCCGCCACCACACTGGATTCCCCATCAGACCCCCCAGCGGAGGATGGCCTCCCGGCCTCCCTGAAGAAGAGGGAGGGCATCCGCACGGGGGAAGGGGGGGCTGCCTCATCTGAACTTTTTTTTGGAGGGGTGGAGGGCACAACGGCCCTTGGGCCTGGCTGCCTTCAAGGTGAGCTTCTGAGGCTTCCCACTGCGGCTACTCCTGCCGGTCGTGGAGGGGAGGGAGGGGGGGCGGTGAGAGACCACAGGTACATGGAACCCACAGCGTCCCTTTAGCTGGGCTTCTTGGGGGCCGAAAGGGGCCACCCCGTGTGCCACAAGGCCTGGCAGAGGCTGAGGGACCCCTCTGGTGGGGGGGCAGGGGAGAGACCTGGGGACACAGGCCAGCTGGGGCAGGGAGGGTTGGGACCCCTTTGACCACCACCACCACCACCACCACCACCACCTGGACGGGGGGGGAGAGCCAGGTGTCAGCAGCAACCCCCCCCTCCGGCTGCAGGGGCTTCCTGCCCAGTCGGGGTGGGGGTGGCAGAAGGAGGACGTTACCGTGATGGTGATGCTGGGGCTCTGCAGGGTGAGGGCCTTCTCCACCAGCAGCTTTTCTCCCGCCTGGACGTCACACAAGGCCGTGACCAGGAGCTTCTTCTCGTCTGTCAAGGATGCTTTGTAGTGGCCGTAAGTGATCCGAAGAGGAATCTCCTTCTCTGTAAGTCAGAGCGGGGAGCAGGGGGGGTGTTTCGGGTCAGGGCCCTCTGCCAGCCGCACTCTCCTCCTCTCCTGCCCTCCCCGGGCAACGTCCAGGCATTCTCCCTCGACAGCAAGCCCAAGAGAAGCCACGTGCGCACCCCTCCTTGCTTTGCCAGCTCAGCTCAGCAAGACTCCCCCCTCCCTCAGGGCAACACAGTAGAAAGGTGGGGGGGGCGGCCGTGGCAGTGAGGAGGGAGCAGAAAGGGCTTCCCTTTCCCTCAACAGCTGTTTCCATGCAGCAGGACAGGCCTGGCAGGAAGATCCTCCTCATCACCATCATCCCTTTTGAGCAGACTTTCCACAGAGTGTGAGGAGCCCCCAGGACAGCTGGTTGCTGGGCTGGCGGGAGAGAGAGAGAGAGAGAGAGCTGGCCTGCCCTGGGCGGCTGCGGGGCCACAGCATCCTGGCCAGGACGGGGGGGGGCTGGCTCTGCCTTGGTGGTCCCTCTGGCCGTAACCCTAACCCTCCTGTTTTGCTGGAGTGCCAGGCTGGGCCCCTGCTGTGCTACTCTGTCCCCTCCGCTGGCTTGGCTTCCAGGGGCAAGGCGGGCCCACGGCCATGCTAGGCGCACCGTCACCCCAGGCTGCAAAGGAGAGGTGGATCAGCAGATGACCCTCACACCAGGGGGTGGGAGAAGGGGGCAATGGGGCGGGTGCGTCTGTCTTGCAAAATGGGCCGTGGCAGGCATGTGCATGGAGAGCGTAAGCGGCTCTGGAAACTGGTTGGGCAGGTGGGTAAAAGACCCCCTATGGCCCCACCCCTTTCCCCTGGCAGTGCCTCCCAGCGGGGAAACGTGAGGGTGGGCTACCTTCTTTGGATCCCAGCTGGACGGTGGTGGATTCCTTCAGGATCTCCTGGACAGCCCTGCGTGTGTACAAGACGGTTGACACGCTGAGGTTCACCGTGACCGTCTTTGGTGCTGTGGCCAGGTTGGCCAGAGAGAGGATCAGGTGAACATCTTTGCCAAACACCGGCGGCTGGACCAGCTTGAACTTCCCAAAGAGTTCTGGATGAGTCACCAGATCCGATGCGGCCGCATCCAGAGTGCTTGCACGTCTTGGGGCACCACGAGATCCGGACATCTCAGCACAGGCTTTCCTGTAGACGTTTCGTTCCTCAGCAGAGCCTGCGTGGAAAGAACCACAATAACATCAGTGTTTGGGCAAAACATGGTGGAAAAGAAAAGGAAAAAGCCAAAAGACTGGGACCCTTTAAAGACTTGACAAGGCAAGCCTTTGTGGATCAAAACCCACTTTTTTGAACACAGTCCTGTTATCTGTCCTGCTTGTGTTGCAGGTGGATGTTGATCCACGAGAGAGGAGATGGAAAGAAATCTGCGGCTCTTCGGAAGGCACAGCCTTTCACCTTCCTCCTGCGCTCCCAGAAATGGCAACCCGGCCAGCGGCTGTTTCCCAGCCTCTCTGCTCTTGCGCAGGTGGGGCTCCCGGCTGAGCCCTTTTGTCCTGGCCGGGGAGCTTCGCCTCTCCCTAGGAGGGACGGAGGGAGCCCATCTCTCCTCCCGGTCTCCGTCACCCCCATCGTCGCTGTGGGGTATGTGGGGAGTGGAGAGGCCATGCCCAGTTGTGCTCACAATCTGCTCTCCCCCCACCCCTCCCCTCCCCTTCCCAACTGCACATCCACCCCGAGAGCAGCACCACGGCCCTCAGCCGAGCCGAGCCGACGCCTCCAGGTTGCAGCCGGTGTGTGTTTGTGTCCTGGTGCCTCGGGAGAAGCTGGGGGGAGGGGGGAGGGGGAGGGAGGGGGTGCTCTGGGGTGTCCCTTGGAGGAGAAAGGCCTGTTGCCTGACAGAAGCCTCCGGAATGCTTGGAAAATTCCAGGTTTGGACCTGGGAAGGCAGCCAGCTCCTGCCGCTTCCTCATGAACAGGGAATGCGCCCGTGCAGCATTCCAAAGCCTTCCACCCGGCAGGAGCCCAGTGGAAATTATCCCAAGGCTGCACAAGGACGTGCCTGGGTGTGCAGGGAGAAGCCGAAAGGAAGCCGCCCTCGAGCGAGCGAGCGGGCAAAGGCAGGCCTTTCAAGGATTCGCTCCCTCCCTGCTGGGTTGGGGCTGTGGTGGTGGTGGTGGGCAGCACACACAGCTCAGGAGAAGCCAGAGATGGGGCTGCCAGTGAGGCTACCTTGTGAGCCCCTCACAAGGAATCCCACTGGGCAGAGCCAAGGGGAACCAGCAAAGAGACTCCTCTGGGACCACCACCAGCAGCAGCAGCAGCAGCAGCTTACCTTCAGGGAACTTGTAGTTGTTGGTGATGTCCACGCGGTGGTTGCTGCCCACGGCTTTGGTGCTGATGTTCCTGCCAATGGAGGCGGTGTCGCAATAAACCCTCTCCCGTTTCCCGTTGCTGTAGCAGACCCAGCGGCAGATGTCGGCATTCACCTCCGAATAGATGAAGCCGCTGTCGTAGTTCATCCTGACGTCTCCTTGCTTGATGGCCACGACCGAGGCTGGCCCACATTGGTAGATCCCTGGAAGGAGAGCAGGATGCGACCATGGCTGTGGCACTGGGCGGCAGGGGAGCCCTTCTGGCAGAGGAGCAGAACACCGCCTTACCTTGGCTCCGCTCCTGTGGGGTCGAATCAATCACCTGCCACCCGCTGTAGCCTGTCCCCAGGTCCCTCCGGACAAACCAGCATTCGTTCCAGACATGGTAATCCCTGGAGGGGGCGAAAGGACAGGCGTGGCGCACAAGGGAGGGAGAGGCTGGCTGGGTCTTCCTTCTGCTCAGAAGGGCAGGTGGGCCCGGATGGGGATGAGAGGGCCACCGGGTTCCCCAGGGGACAGCTGTTGTCATCTCCCTTTGCCCCTGGTGTGCAAGCGATGGCGGTAGTGCCAGGCACCCAGGCTGGGCTTTTTCAACTTGGGGGTCTTTTTTTAAAAAAGCCTCTTTCACGGACAATGACCCTGCCTCACCGAAAGCACGGCGGGGCGTCGGGGAGAGGAGGACTGGGAAGCCCTCCTGCCTTTAGGACCGTTCGCCAGCCCCTTCCAGGCCTGGCACCGCACAGTCTGTCTTGGTTGGCAGGCAAGGAATTGGTGTGGGCAGGGCCCACGGGGCGTCTTCCTTGCCCCAACCATTCGCCGGCGGCCATCGGCCACCTGCTTTTGTGGGAAAGGAGGGGGCTGCCAGAGTCACCTTGGCCCCTAGGACTTCTTTATGGGGAATGCTGAGGGTCCCTGAGCCAGTGCGGCGAGGAAATGCTGGTCTGTGTGTGTCCCCCCCCACACACACACACAGAGGGGGGGGGGAAAGGAGGGGCATATATTCAGCCCAGTGAAACAACTCAGGTGGGCAGGAGGGCACTTTCCCACTCCCCCCCTTCCCTCTGCAAGAGGCCCACAGAGGGTGGGGGGGCTCCACACCTGCCAGCTCACAGGCCTGGCCTTCTCCCCCACCAGCCACACATCCTCCTTCCTGCTTCTGCTCTGGAAAGCAGCCGGGAGGCTTGGCCACAGGGCAGGCAGGGAGGCCGAGGGGAGGCTCAGCGCAAAGCTCAGGCCCATGGCAAGCACGGCAGAAGGAAGCAGCCGTGGCGCCAGGGACAACCCGGGTAGAACAGCCTTGGGTATGGAGGCACCCAGACCAGGCAGAGAGTACTCTCTCACTCACACACACACACACACACATGCGGTCTCTTTTTCTCTCTCTCTCTCACTCTCTCACCCACGCACATTATTAGAATGAAAATAAAGCTATACAAAACTTTTTTAAAATTGCTAACCATCACAGTTCTAAGCTGAAACTATGTATTTTTGACAGAGTCTCACGCAAAAAAGGCAATGACATTGGGAAAAGCCAAAGGCAGCAGGAAAAGAGGAAGACACAACATGAGATGGATTGACTTCCTAGTTTGCAAAACCTGAGCAGGGCAGGTAACAACATGAGCTTTGGAGTCTTTAATTCATAAGGGAGCGATAAATGAGAAGCAACTTGACAGCACAGCACAAAGCAATGCCACAAAGCAACACAAAGCTGGACTGCAGAGTGAAATAAAATGAATCAGGTCCCAGGAAAAATCTGTGGGGCTGGAAATTGCAGCCACGCGCACCAAGCAAAGGCAGCATCCTCGGCACCGCCCGGCCTCAGGTCTTGCGCTGTGGTGTTTCATTCGTAGCTATGATTTGCAACTTATTTTTTGCTATCTCTTTTTAACAATGAGGTGGTATTATTATCCCACGTATCCACAGAACTGTAGGTGTGGAAAGGCCTCCCTCTGGACCGACCCCTCCGTTGGCTTGGTGCAACTGAGGCGACTGCTCCTTGCCCTCTCAGAGTTGGGCAGGAGAAGGATCTCGGGCAGGCAGGCCCGAGCCTTTTGCCTCCAGCCACTCGGCTCCAAGCAGGCGATGGCGCGTTATGGCCGCCTCTCCCACCTTTCCCAAGCAGTTGGCGCTTCTCCTGGCCACCCACAGCCATCCCCAAATATGCCCCTCCACCAGGGTGGGTGGGAAGGGAAAGGGGGACATGGAGGGGCTGGGGGCAGAGCCTGCCGGATCCTCGGGGAGGGCTCCGTGGCTCCTTTGACCTGAACAGCAAGCCAAAAGGAGGCCGAGCGGCCTCTGGGGCTCTTCCACATGGCTTCCCTCTCCAGGAGCAAGCCTGTGGAGTTGGCAAGAAAGGTGGGTCCCCTTCGAGCCAAAGGCACAAGAGGTGCCGCACCCACTGGCTTCGGGGAAGCCACCCGCTGGTCCCCCGTGGCCTCTGGGGAAGGGCAGGGGCTCGCCCTCCCAGAGCCGTTCATTGTGGGGTGCCTTCGCACCTTCCCTGGAGTGGGTCTGTGGGAGAAAGCCCTGAAGAGCTTGCTCGGTTCCCAGCAAGCCCTCTTCTTCCCCCCCCTCCACCCCTAAGAGTCTCTCCAGAGAAGCCCAGGAGGCCATTTACCAGACAGAATCCTGCCCCATCTTGAGGCTTTTCCCAGAGGGATCGTAGTACTTGTCGATGCTCAGGTTGTGGTCGGCGTCATGGGCCGAATTGAAGTTGGTCACCAAGCGAGTCGGGATCCCCAGGCACCTCAGCACTAAAAGAGGGGGGGGGGAGAGGGAGGCACTGAGGGCCACGTGGCGCCTTGGCCGCCCCCTCCTTCCTAGGGTCAGGCTGGGCTCGGCGAGGCCTCCCCTTTCGCTCCCGCGCCACACTCACCTGTGCCTGCCACTCCGGCAAAGACCCAGCACTGGCCATACTGGACCGGCCGGTAGTTGCCCTGGGCCCATATCCTGAGGATGTCCGTGCTCCCGTTCCACCTGGAAGGGTTCTCGTGGTGAGCAAAGGACTCGCTCCACTTGCCCTCCAGCACCCCGTTGTCGTTGTCATTGCCATTGACCTAAAATTGGAGAGGAGCATCAACTGAGCGGAGGAAGTGTGTGTGTGTGTGTGTGTGTGTGTGTGTGTGTGTGTGTGTGTGTGTCTTGGGTTCGTCTTCCCTCGTCAGGCTGTCTTGGCGCCTTGCCATGCCCACTACCTGGGGGGGTGAAGCAGTCCAGGGGGTTTGGCCTTACCATCGAGCTGATCACTCTGCCCACGTATCTGGGGTCACTTCTGCGGGACGCGTCTCCGGTCGGGTCCTGGCGATGGTAGAGGCTCAGGTCCAGAAGCACAAGGCAGAGGTTGAGGATGCCCTGTTGGAACTGGAACGAGAAAAGGGCACCTTTGCTAAGTGAGATCAGGCAGAAGAAACCACCCACCCCCCAGCCGCCCGGCCAGGCATCCCGCTGCTTCCCGAAGCCAGGCGGAAGGGGTGCCCCCGCGCAATGGCACAGGAAGGGCTGGCCCCTGGGACCTCCGGGTCCTTGAGGATGGCCGGGTCCGAAGCCCTCCTGGGCCTGCCTCCAGGACTTCGTACTCGGCACAACTGGGGCGTCTGTCCGTCACTCCTCTGCTGCCCCCGTTTGCGCTGCTGCCACCTTTGGGAGGCCAGTCACCTCCTCCATTATAGCCCACCCATCCTCCCCCTGCCCTGAGCTAGTCCTGCAAAAGACAGGCTGGACAAGAGCTGCCCTCCCATGTGCCAGCTGCCTTGCGCAAGCACAGCCGTGCTCGGTAGTCCCCTGGCAGCCCTTTCTGCCCTGGGGCTCTGCTTAAAGAGGCTGGCTCTCCCCAGCAGTAAAGGCTGTCAATAGGACCGGTGCAAAGGCAAGGAGGAAAGGCTGACCTGGCCAAGGTACCACCCTCGCGCCTCGATGTAGTTGGCATTCCCCGCAAACATCATTCCGTTTTCGTTCAGAACGTACTCCTGTCTTTCCGCCTCATTGGCCATGTGGACAGGATCCCCTGGTGGAGAGAAAGCAATGGCTTTGGAAAAGGAGGGTTGGGCCCTGGGCAGCCGTACAGGCAGGGAGGTGGAGCCCAGCCAGGCTGTCTGCACCAGCCACCGGCACCAGTCGGCCCTGGTCCCTCTGCTGGCCTGGGCGCAAAGGGCCGTCTCCAAGAGCTGCCTGCCAGCTCAGAGAAGAGGGCCTCCAATGCCCTTCGCGGGCGCCGGTACTGCTGCCGCCACCGCCACCATCACCACCGCCGCTCCGCTTTGGGGGAAGCCCGACTCTGCAGGGTCAGTCCACTGGCGCTGCAGGCGCCCATCCACCTAGCACTCGTTTATTTAAAGTTACACCAAGATAATTGCTACTTCAGTGTGCTTGCACTTAGAACACAGCAGGCGAATGTGGATTTCAGACAGAAGCATTTGTCTGATTGAATGGGCAGCATTTGAACAGGTCCTGGGCAAAGGTACCTCTGCAAATATAAGTCTCGGAGCGACAAGTGGGTCCTTATGGAGGCGCCACCGGTGAGCCTCTGCTGGAGACAAGGGGTAGCCCGGGGACTGGCATGCGGGGCAGGGTGGGGGAGGCCCTTCATTCTGCCTTGCTCCCCCCTGCAGTTGGCCACACTCAGCAGGGTGCACAGTCAGTTTTGCACCTGAGCAGAGTCTAGAACACTGGGCCCAAGGGGCCGCATCCTGTCCTGCCTGTTTGAGAAGGTCAGATATAAGGAGGCTGAGAGCACCCATGGAAGGAGGAGACGCCCATCCTGCTCCCATTTCTTTTTCTCTGTTGCTGCCTGATCGCAGCAGCTGGCCGTGGGAGGAGTCGCCTGCAGGCCCCCTCTTCTGCCTCTGCTGCTGCCTGGAACACAAGAGGCACATCTTCTTTTTTTGGAGGGTTTGTTGTTGTTGTTGTTGTTGTTGCCATGTTATGGCAGCCCTTTGGTGTCTATCCAAGTACCACGGGTGGGAGGCTTCTCTGTGCCTTCTCTCCCCCCCCCCGCGTTTTGCGCTGACTTCTCTTCCAGCCCCTCCTTCTCAATAGCCCACCGCGCAGGGAGGAACTTGGGTGGGGTTCCGAGGGCAGGGCTGGATGCGGCCCACCTCTCTGTCCAGAGAAGCCCTTTCAGGGTGCCCGGGGGGGGGGGCGCGGGTAGGAGAGGGAGGCGGCCGGTCCCGGCGGATCTCACCTGAGCACCAAGGGTTGAAGAGCAGGATGAACTCTCCCAGGAGGTAGGCGTACGCCTTGTCCCCGCAGGCCACCCGCAGGCTGAGCTTGTAGCGCCCGATGGGAGCCGTCGGGGGGCTGAGGATGGAGAAGTTGACGCAGTTGGCCTCCCGGGAGACTTCCACAGCGCTCCAGCTGCCTGCGACCAGGGCGCCGGAGACGGCGAAGACGGCCCGGGTGTAGTGGGACTCGGAAGGAGCTTTCCCTGTCGACAGGAGAGGCGGTGAGCCGGGGGGGGGGCGAACGGGGAAGGAGGCAGGGAGCCGGGGCTGCTCGGCCGGGAGGAGGAGCCTTTGTCGAGGGCGGGCTCCGGCTCTGCTGCCCCCAAGACGGTCAGTCCAGGGAAGCGCCGGTCCGTCTGGAACGCCTAGTGGGTCCCCCGGCAGAGCGGATGCTGGCCTGTGGCCTCAGGCGCTGCACCGGGCTCTTCGGTGGCTGCCGTGACCGCAGGAGAGACTTGGGCAGCAACTGGGGGGGGGAGCTTTGGAGTGGGGCAATTTCCAGCCAGCCTGGCTCAAGCCCTGCCCTGCCCTGCCCTGCCCACACCCACACATCAGACCCAAGAATGGGGGGGGGGAGGGGGATGAAAGGCGAGCCGAGGCATCATCCCAGGAGCAGGGCACACAAGGAGGAGGAGGTCCCAGGCGGGCAGCCCCGTCTCTCTGCAGAGCCTGAGGACAGAAGCGCGCAGAAAAGCTGCTTCAGCCCCGGCTCTCCCGCAGCCACGGCTTGCCCTGAAGATCCGGCCGGCCGGCCGAGGGGTCGAGTCTCCAGAGGTCTGCGCTGCCAAAGGACCAAACCCCTTACACCCCCG